TTAAAATTTGCAACGCTTGGAATGTGGCCAACTTTCACTTTGTGAAAAAAGAGTATTAAATTCCCTGCCCAACGTAGCTACTTAATGTTAATTTGAAAATTGTAAAATCGTCGCAGTTCAAACGAGTTTCAACCGACGTTTCGGCAATGCTGCCTTCTTAGGGGTTCAAGACTAAATGAGACTATTTTTGTACCCTGAAAAAGACAGCATTGAAAATACGTCGGTTTAAAACTCCTTTGAACAGCGTCGATTTTACAATTTTGGCCGAGCGCGACCTCGGGTTTAGTCTAGTTTTGCAAAATTCAAGATGGCGGATCAATGTGCAGCTACCGAAGGTGAACTAAATTTCCATAAAAGATGCACTGAAGCGAGAGAAATCAAAATTTCAGCGGGGAATTTGGAACGAACATACCCTAAAGGATTTAGGCAAGACATTCCACGAACTGAATAAGCTGGCTGAGTCAGTTGTGAGAGGGAATTTTGGCGCGCTTCGCGAGCGCACCAATTACTACAGGATCGGCGAGATTATGTCCTATGCTTTCGAAGCATGGATCGCGCAAAGACCGCAGTTATTCACCGTCTTAGTCTTTAAATGAGCATAGTGCATCCGTGGATGATTTGCTTTGACCTTCCCATGCCTCATGAGGTCTTCGATCTCTTGAACAAGGAGATTCTTGGTCTGACAAGATTTGGGATAGATACACCAGGCTCAGTGACTATAACAAACCTGAGAAGATTATCGTATCTCTACGACTAGTTCCAAGATTGTGGTGGGTTTAGAAAGCAACTTGGTAAAGGAAAAAGAGAGGTAAAGCTTACTGTAAACTCCGAAAAAAAGGAAATAATGGTCTCTATGCTAAAGAGCAGATTTTGAGAGCAAAATTTTTTATGGATACTGGAATTCGTATGGGATTAGTCAGGATTAGTCAACAATGAATTGAGGATGCAAGGTTGAATCACACAGTAACAAGTATTTCCCTAATACCTCATTGACAAAAACCTGTCAACCTTTGTGCTTGGATGATAACAAAAATGACAGAATGCCTACCATGGATCATTGCAATTATCCCTTATGTTTCACAATTTTTTTGAGAAATCCCGAAAATTGTAGAAATGCCAGTTTTTGCTGGGCACCCTTCTACCTCCTGTAACACTTGACTTAATTAATTTTAGCAAAAACTGCGATTTCTCCAATTTTTGCAATTTTTGGAGAAATTGTAGAAATCGCAGTTTTTGCTGGGCACCCTTGTACCTCCTCTAACACTTGTCGTAATTAATTTTAGCAAAAACTGCAATTTCTCCAATTTTTCTCAATTCTTGGAGAAATTGCAGTTTTTGTTGGACACCCTTCTACGTCCAGTTGACTTAATTAATTTTAGCAAAAACTGCGATTTCTCCTATTTTTTGCAATTTTTGGAGAAATCGTAGAAATTGCAGAGGTCGCAGTTTTTGCTGGACACCCTTCTACCTCCTGTAACACTTGACTTAATTAATTTTAGCAAAAACAGCGATTTCTCCAATTTTTCACAATTTTTGGAGAAACTACAGAAGTCGCAGTTTTTGCTGGACACCCTTCTACCTCCTGTACCACTTGACTTAATTAATCTTAGCAAAAACTGCGATTTCTCCAATTTTTCACAATTTTTGGAGAACTCGCAGAAAGTGCAGAAGTCGCAGTTTTTGCTGGACACCCTTCTACCTCCTGTAACACTTGAGTTAATTAATCTTAGCAAAAACTGTGATTTCTCCAGGTCAGGCGCTCAATGCGGGGGTGAAAGTCATTTCGGAGGGGATTGACTGTGACCGCACCTTTGATCTTTGCAATATTTCTGAGGGGTGTAAGAAAAATTGGTCATTTCTGTGGGGGGAGGCAGGGGTACTGTGTCAGTACCTTTGATCTTTTTTTCTTTTGTTTTAGAACTCATCAGACACTCCGATCTTGCTTTCCAAAAGCAACATAAAGGCACTTCGGTCTATGGTGTTTGATAAAGTTTGAAGCCTCTTTGGCATCACCCAAATACAAGATTTTCCTGGTTATGAAGTTTCTCTTGAAAGTGCCATAACATTGATTATCAGGGAGTTGAGATTACATGGTGTGCAGAAAGAAATAATTGACCCAAGCCTCAAGCTTGATGGTAGGCCATTTGCAGGTGAGAACGCAATCTTTACTAAATACAGTGTAACTTATTTCCAGATTTCTTTATTGTATTTTGCAACAACTGTGTTGCACTTAAGAAAGAAAAACATAGAAACAAAATCAACAGTGAAATTGGGTTAAAAATTATGACACCAAGGGACATACAATACTGTCCAAATTATTTCTTAACTGTGACTGAAACAAGTTCATCCTAACGAAACCCTGTGATCTTTTATCATGGGTGTAGTCTTGGACTGAAATAGTCTTTTTCATCAGTATTCTTAAACATTTACCGTTCCTTATCCATAATTTTCACTTGAAAGATATTCAGTCATAGACAGTGCAGAGATAAAATAATGTAAAGCAGGGTATATAATATATGGAAGTTTAAAACTTGTTGTCCATATTATTGTTGCCTTTATTAGGGAGTAAATTTTAGAGAAAATACATGTGCTTTTTGTTGCAACAAATCCGTTAAATACAGGTGTCTGTATTAAGTTTGAGGGGGGGGGTAACAATAAAGTGGCAGGGTAAACATAACCAAACACTTTGAACTCTAGGTCATGAAGTGGTGCTTAAATTTTTGAAATGCCTTTTTTTTTGTTTCCTCTCATTTGTAGGGCACAGTCAGGTCCTAATGGGTGTAGTCCCCAAAGACAAACCATTCGTGTGTAATCAGAGCTGCAAATCAGTGTGCCCTTTAGATATTGCTAATTGTAAGGAAGACAGGTATGTTGTATTTAAATTTGATTCATTAGTCAAATAGTTATTTGTTTCCAAAATAACTAGTTTTGTTAGTGAAAATTATTATTGTACCTTTTTGACTGTGTAATTTTTGGTTGTCGACCAGTTATACATGCAAGCTGAAATAATTTGTGGATTTACAACAAATTTATCATATGAGGCCTAAAGGCCCCAGTAAACGATCATTTTTGAACATTAATTTACCGCAAAGGTCTAAATTTATTAGTGGGCCACTCAAACCCGACCTTTATATGTTTTCAAGTCTTAAGAACTATCTGCCCGCAGACTAGACTAGCAGCATGGTATTTCATTTCCTTTTTTTTCATTTTAGTAATAACTTCAGTTTACTGGTAACTTTACTTTTGATTATTATTAGGAAAAAAACCTAAAAAAGCTGATTGTTAATGTCAACAAACAAAAGGATGCACTAAAGAAGAATGGAATCACAGTGGATGGAGTGCATTATGCTGTGAGATTTAAAGGTAAGTTTCACATAATAATTAATAAGGTATTTTTTAGTACCATCATTTTCAATCCAAATGCCTGCATGTACATTGACCACTCTTTTCAAATATTTATATCTACAGTTATACTTGACCTGAAGGCCCTCTATTTTTTGCTGGAACAAATAGGGAAAGCGAACCTTAAGCTTGGGAAATGAGGAACTGAAGTAGAGTGTTGCTTTATCTGCAAAGCATTGAGGGTATGTGGATACATTCAAAATCTCTGAGTCAACAAATTCTACGTACTATGCAGGTTTTGACCTTACCAATGACCAACTTACTAATATAGTACTATTAGAGTTTCAGTTGTGCTGGGTAAAATTTCTTAGAAAAAACTAGCCATGAATAATGGCTATTTTTATGGGATGTTGCGATCTTGGTCCACATACAGTTTGTTTGAAACACTTTAGCAATTGTCCAAGGCCAGTATTTCAGTTGTATCCGGAACTTGTGCGCATACATTTTATTTTGAGCACGCATTATTTGTTTATTTATTTATTGACGTGTACATTTGGTTCGTTAATTAACGTCTTAGTTTTACTTTGCGTTATTTTCGTCACTTATATGTGTTGTCCGTGACTGTGCTCACATCGTGGGTGGCTCCTCCTAAAATGTTTTGCAATTGGTATAGGATTTAATGGAGCCGTAACCAATTGTGGAATTGCACGCATTTTAGGCATCCTACTGATGAACAGTTGTGACACGCAGATATATATTTTTTAGCAACTAATATAATTTGCAGTCTGTCTACTTTGAATTGGAGGGTAATTTAGTTATAGTTTTGGTTTACTAAGAATTCTCCGATGATACTTGTTGAGGCATGCAGCCCTTGATTATTCATGAATTTCAGCATTTGTAGTTGTCATTTTGAATTCACAGTAACTTCTAATTATAAAAGACATTCAAAACATTAAGGTTATCTCAATACGGTTAACCTCTACTCAAAAAATTAAATTCCCTGGTATAGTGAGTGAATCCCTTCATCCCAGCATTTATAGCTTAACAAGTATGTTTTCTATAAAAGACTCACTTTTTATATAGACCTCATTTTAGCAATAATATTTTGTAAATTAAGCCTTGCCTTTTGTAAAAGGGGAAGTTCGACTGCATGGAAAAGGAAGCCAAAAGGTTTTTTTGGAAAAATGTGGTGTTTAATGCCCCTGTCTATAAAATGTTGGCAGTTATTCTTGTCTTGTTTTCCTAGAGAGCACATATTATTTTTCCACAATAATATACCACAGTCTTCCTTTACTCTAGGTGTGTCAATGTTGTAGGGGCACTGTCATAAAAGACTGAAAACCTGTCGAGTAAAATACTTGAGTTTGAAATCTATAAAACTGCTAAGTACCACTTCAGGGGAGATATCCCCCACAACTAACAGAATAATTAATCTTCTTTTTTCTAGTTTCAAAGGCATCCGTGATGACTTAGAGTTCCTTCTTAAAGAGGATTTATCGTCTATTAATCTCTGCGCCCTTCACTGCCAACTTAGAAATACCGAAGAGTTGTTGTCATCATTGGGTTTGTTTTTGTTCAAAGTGGGTTCACTTGATGAATGTAATGCCGAATTGGCAAATTATGGCCCTGAGAATTTTAGCAGCAGAATAACAGTGAAGATGAAGGAGGGCCAAGAAACTGCTGTTGAAAAGCACAACATTCAGGTGTCTTCATTTTCAGGTACCTTCTATATTGTTTCACTTTTATCATGATTGCTTTCATTCCCTTTATCCGCTTCAGGGCTTTTACTTTTGTGCTGTAGCAGCTGCTTGAGTTTCATTTGTACAATGCCTTGATCCTCAATATGAAAACTGTAACACTGGTTTGTAATGAAGATGTCATTAAGTTGTGAATTTAAATCCTGTTTGTTTCTTTCTGTACTATTTTTCCTGAAGGTTCTACTGAACGTGAGTTCCTCACAAACATTGAAACGATTGTCAGGAACTCCTTGCCTCATGACAAATTGAAGTCATATTTTGCTGATCCAGAGAGTACTAAAGAGGCGCTCCTGAATAAAGTCACATTTTGTAATGATAGAATCAAGGTATGGCTCAGGATATCACATGATTTGAATGTTTTACTTAAACCAGTGCAACACACAATAGTATTTTTTGTGTGGTATGTAGAAACATACACTGAAAAAAATGGTTTCTGTTTAAAATATTCAATGAATTTTTAATAATTTAATGTTTTACTACTATCAGGACATGGCTATTTCAAACACAATGACCAGAGACTTTGGTTCAAAGCAGGAGACTATTACCCTCACAGGTTCAGGTACATGTTACAGTCATTATACTGTTATTTAAAACCTTTCCTTCCCTTTGACTGTGATAAACCAGACAGTTTGAATTAATGACTGCATTTACATCCATCGACACTGGAAGTTGTGATAGGCTAGCTAGCACTGTTAGTATTAATACAACCCCATGACGTGACCATTGTGTATCAAGGGTACATCATTATTGCATCAGATTACTGCATCCCAACTGAGTGAATGTTCCTTAGCATGTAAAGTACACCCAGTGGTTTGTGTTCTTGGATAATGGTCCTCCCTTAAAAAGAATACCCCCTTACACTTTGTGATGTGACTACCTAACCTGTTTTCCTTAGAAACTGGAAAAGAAGTTCAAAGAAGACTGGAATTCTGGCAGGGCAGGCTACGTGAAATCGAGGAAAGATATGTGGAGCTGTCAGAGAAGTGTGTTGGTTGGTCGGTTGCTAATGGAAACAAAGAAAGAAAAGGCAGCAGGTGGACAATGCTGATCTTTCTCAGCTATCTGATTATGCAGCAGAAGTGTTCTACCAATATTTTTAAAGGTAATCAAATAATCAAGTCTTTTTTTATTTAATTGGAAGACACATTGGACAGTTTTATGAGAAGTAAGATATGGGGCAAAATCCAGACACGTTAAGTTAAAACTTACTAGTCAAGCTGATTTTGCTTTTTTGAACAAAATTCTTAACTTTAACAAGTGGCAGTTACAAAACACAGGTCACAAGGGAAGGTCACTGCATGCTCTTATAAAAAAAACTGAGATAGGCAGTTTCCCCTTAACTTAAAACACCTCATTTCAGATTGTAATTTGGGCTTTTCATATGATTATTGATTTTGATTGCAGGTTTACACTGACTGGAAAGACATTTCTGAAGTCATTAGAAGTAGTGTCTTCGAGGAAGATTAGCAAGATTTAATTGACATTTTTGACATACAGGTCCAGGTAATTCAATTTTAGTAAGAGTGAAAAGTACCATTTGAAAATGAAGTCCTCTTAATGGAAAATATGCATACTGTCTAAAACTATTACATTTAGATAATAAATTTAGACAAGAAGGTTAATACATAGGTTTAAAGAAATTAAAAAGCAAAGAAAGTCTCATTAAGATGCTACACGGGTGATCAGTTTTTAAGTGGATAAAACAACTCTGGTCTTTTAAGAAGAACACGTTTTCTTACTCAGCACTGTTTGAATTTCTTGTTATGCAAATCTGAAACTTTTGTTTAGCTTTAGCATTATTTCACTTATTGTGGATAAATTATAGAGCTCAGTTGGTACCCTAACTGTCACTTGGTTCAATACCTTTGGATATTTGTATAAAGACACTTAAGAATACTTATATTTCATTTTTGCCTTAGAGACTTGTATTGTTATGGACATTACGTTACAGTGACATTACCTATCTTTGAAATAGTTTCTATGATTAAAAAGCCTACTAGAAATAAAAAGCTTATCAGACAAATGATGTTACTAACAAATCCAAGGAGTAGGACAAGTTATTTTCAATTGATTAAAGAGTGAAATCCTGTCTGACACAAAGAAAGAAGTGAAATTTTGTTATGGACATTACTCATCTACTTAGATATTTTCTACTAACGAAAAATGGGGAAAAATTATTGAAAACCATCAAATTTTTTTCTCGTGTGAAAAAAAGGCTTATGCTCTAATTATACCTCAGTTTCAGTGGACTGCATTGATTTTGATATTTTGACAAATTATTCCTTAACTTGCACCTGTGGGTCCCATGTTTTCCTTGTTTATATGACCTATTGAGTAGTAGACCCCCTGCGGAGTGCAGAAGGGCGAAAACAGAAATGACATGTATGTTTTTAATACAGTGATGTGTCTTCTCTTTAATGGCACAGAAATTAATTCCAATATCCTTCTTTTAAAAATGATTGATTTTTCACCTCTCATGTGGAATTGCCCAAAGTACCATTTGGAAATGAAGTCCTCTTAATGGAAAATGCATAGTGTCTAAAACTATTACAATAATAAATTTAGACAAGAAGGTTAAATACAGCTGTAGTGGATTTTCTTGTAAATCTTTTACCAGAGACTGCGCAACAATTAAAAGCCATTGCATGACGAGAAATTCAAAAATAATTTCCAGTCACTTTAACTGACATTCAAAAACAAAAAAGGAGGAAAGAAAGAAATGCTCCATGAGTGTCTATCTGACAAAGGTACGGCAAACCTTTACATCCAATTTTTCAGATTTAAAAAAAAACAGATCTAAATATTAGTACAAGATCTATATCAGAGATTTTGACGCTGTTCAAAACATTTGCAGTCATGTATAATCAGAACCTGGAAATACACTCAGGCTGGTCTTTTAAACAATACTTCAAGTTTGATTATAGAATGAGGCACATGCATTATTATTTTAAAAGTAAAATCATGTTTATCTCTCCTAAAATTTTAAGATATTCACAAAGTACAGGTCACATTCCCCAGGTAATAGGTACATGTCACTGCTCCATAGATGAATTGCCAAACCACACAGATTCCCCTCTATCTAATGGAGCATTTTGTTAAGAGTTTAGGGCTTGCAAACACTTTTAATACTATTCATTTGTCTGTATCATGGTGAACTGTACTCTGACAGTGTGGAAAAGTTACCTGTATTTTAGACCCCCCTTAACAAAATTTCTACCCTGTAACAGCTCTGTAGCATCACTGGAACAGGGTTGTAAAACTAACCTGTGACAACCCTGTTACAGCTCGTCATTTGGCACAGTTAGCAAGGCTGTTTCTACACTGTAGCAGCCTTGGAACAGCCCTGTGACATTTACCTCAAAATTTCTTAGTAGACACCCTGTAACAGCCATGTTACAACCCTGTTTCCACCCTGTAATGGACATCCCTGCCACAGCTCGTGAATTGGCACAGTTAGCAAGGCTGTTTTTACACTGTGGCATTCCTTTAACAGCCTTGGTACAGGTTTCATGCATTACAACCCTGTTACAACTTGTTAATTGGCAGTTAACAAGGCTGTTTTTTTACCAGGTGCCAATGTTGTGATACTCCCTCTCACACAGTATACACTTTAGACAGCAACCGTTTAACTTCTATACATTAGAATTATAGTACTATCAGAACATAATTTTTTATAACTTCACATCTATTAAAGATGAAACTTAATCTTTTTTAGGCATATTTGAACTCATGAAAATTCCTGAAGCAAAGGAACGACTTGCGCCACAAAAAGCTTCAAAGTTGAACCACCAACGGCTGGTTTAGTCCGTTTAGTCACTTAAGTAACAAAAGCAATGCATTTCAACAAACATACATTGAAAGGACACTTTCGATAAAGGAAAACAGTAAATACAGTCAATTAAGAACTTAACGTTACTTTATTTTTCACGTGCCGACGTTACAGTGTGTAAAAATATAAACAGAACAAAATTTAAACTGCATGCAACAGTCTGATCTGGCTTGTAAACACTTGCTTCCTTTGCTCGATTTAATGTACAAGTAGCACGTCAAAATGCCGACTTTACAATAACTGTCCCAAAAAACGAAAATAAAAACGATTTTCGTCCGCAATTATAAGAGATGAAACGCGGAATTGTTCCATTGTAACAACGGTTCCGAGGTTGACAGTTTATAGTTGTTTTGTTCGTTGTAACAAGCTTAATTTGAAATCGCTCACCTCGATCGTCTTTCCTTCATGATCCACAATGTGTTACATTTCCTCATGAAAAGAGCCAATCCATTTGTGTTTCAGTTGTTGCTGAATTGTTTAATTGTGTACGAAATGAACTCGCATTTTTACTAGGCAGGGCAAACAATCTTTGAATCTTGCAAGTGCCGCGGAATGTTTTCTGTCCACTATATCGATCTGTTTCCCATTCGTTGAGAGCTGGTCAAAGCACAGTTATTTTTTTGCTAATACTTTTTCACTCTCTGCTTCAAAAGCAGCAAAAAACGCTCTACAGCCTTTCTAAATCTAAACTGGATGCAGAAAGCGTTTGAATATTTTCGCTTTTCATTCAAATGATCGTGAGTCCTTTCAGGAATGGAGATGTGTAATGCGATCTTCCGGTAAAAGTGCTGACCAATAAGATTAAAGTCTGGGATTTCTCCAGGGAATTACCAATGGCCTGTCTGTCACGGAATGAAAATATTGAAGTCCCCTCGATCTCTAAGGAAAGAATTTAATTCCATGCTTGCAGAGGTCTCTCACGCAGGAAAACAAATTGAAGTGATCTGAAAGTCTTTCATTTTTTGTACATTGTTGTAAAAAATTAAGTAAGTTACAGCGGTTTTTTTACGAAGGTCTTCGTTTTTAACATGAGATAAAAGTCTTATAAAGAAACCAACCTCAAACTACAAAGGTAGCGACAAAATCGGTAATTAATTAAAGTAAGGGTCAATGAAAAAAAAAAGAAAAGAAAAAACGAAGCAAATCCAAACAAAACCAAAAACAGCATATTAATAGGCGTACAATATTCGTGTTTGATGATTTAACAATACCATTTTCACCAAGTTCTTTTTCGTTTTATTTGTTATTAATGATCTAGCTGACCCTCGCTCCTTTTAACACTTTTAGACTTTGAAAAATATTGCCATCTTTCATGATTTATGGAGTTTACCGTACTTGGCTACATTGTTACTGCCCTTTGATTATTATCCATTGTGTGAACAGAAATAGACATCTCACAGTTCTGCAGGAACCCGGTTACTGTCAAATGTACCTAACACAGCCATTCTGCATCCCTGTCCTAGTTCTTCTGCATTACTAGGTAGCCCTGTCTTAACCCTGTTACGGTAACTGGATGTTTCCACAGCCATGTAACAGGCTTGCTACACTGTCAGCTCCACTTGTTTTAACTCAAGTAAGTTGCAGCTGTGTCACAGCCCTGTTACCGCCAGTTTACAGCCCTGAAATAATGCAAACAGGGCTGGAAACAGGATTTTACAGGGCTCTCACAGGGTTTTTGCTGGGTAGTATTTTTTCTGTTTAACACCCATGGAAATATGCCTCTTTTTTCTTTTAGTGCAAAAAATGGGGATTCCTTTTAAGGGAAGTGTTTGGCTGTAACCTGGGCACTAGTGATTATGGCCACATCACCACTGAACATGCCAGCATGCTGTTTAGAAACCACCTCAGCTTAAGGGAGTATTCAAATCAAGGCTTTGAGGCAGCACACTCATTGTAGTGTCAGTTATATTCAAAGGCTACTTCCCATGACAGGCATGGTCATGCTACATCAAGTTAGTTTTATATTTTCCTTTTTTAGTACTTTATTTTTTTTATATTATCATACATCTCAACACTACAGTACTTGAAACTAATATTGTCATCTACTTAAATATTGTTAGAACTAAACTAACAACTCTTTTTAGAGAAAGGTTAGGAAGCTCATCATGTCATTTAATCACATTGTTTTGTGATACCACAGATGATGCATAGTTCATAAAGATATGAAAAGCTCTTGAATTTTAGCTACCCTCTTAAAAGCTCTTGAATCTAAGTTGAGTCAATGGAAAATCCTTGAACTTTAAATCTTGTTTTGAATATCCTTTAATCTGAAGATCTTTCATTGTAAGCAAATAATTTCCTGTTGGAGAACATCCATAGGTATTAAAAATACCTTTAGCATAAGTTTTTCATGGGATACTGCAAACTGTAAACTGCAGTCTGCAGTCACCCATTTGCAGTTTCACTTTGCCTGGATTTTAAACTTTAGGCAGACATTCATTGCTTATCACGAGCTCTAGCTAGCACATCAGAGGGTGGTGTAGAAAGCTGCTTCGGGCTTTTAAATGTAAGGCTGAACAATAATATTATTGTTAGTGGCAAAAACATTGCTGTAAGTCAACTACTGCTGTAAGCCTTTCCTACCAT